CTTTGCAGGGGGTTGAATACTTTTGCAAGATACTGTATATCTCCCCCCCCCCAAAATATTCAAATTTGATATCAGTTTGTAAGCTAAACTTGGCAATAAATTTCTTTTTTAAAACAAAAAATTAACATTGTGTGATTGTTTTTTAAACCTTTAATATTTTTTTTCTCAGATTTTTTAATCCATCAGTGGTAATTTCATAACTTATAAATGCTTCTGTCAAAATTTCATAATCACCATAAATATATTGTCCTCAGTATTTGATGGAAAATAGTGGATTTTATTATCTTGGGCCTGAGATTGACCCAGACTAAGGATCCCGGGAGTTGAGAAGTGGTGGTACCAAGGACACTTCCACTCCCAGCTGTGGGTGCATTATAAGAGTAATAGGCAATCCTACTGTTTGCTTAAAATTAGTTGACTCAAGTGGCCTTTGTTGCCAATTGGTTGATTTCTGTGGATGGCTATGCTTAATCCATAGGGTCTGTTTAGCTTATTTTGTGCATAAGGAGTCATTCAGGTGAATAAATAAACAATTTATCATGTTGTCCCAGTGAAGTTTTACTGGAATTCTTAGTTTGACAGGAAATTAATATATAACTTGAATATTTATTCAGACTAACATCTTGTTTATTTAGTTTATGAAAAATCTTTATCATTAGTGAATCCTGTCTGTTCTCAGTGGTTTACTAAAGTAATATTTAAAGTGATTTATTTCAGTGTATTAACATTCTAGTTTTTTTTAGATTAAGTGTTGGTAAAGAGATAATATTTCAGGAAACAAAAACAGTATCTTCAGTGAATTTCAGTCAGTCCTTCAAAAATTTCAATAGGATTTATATTTTTTGGTTCTTCTTGTTTAGAAATAATGCAGAAAATTACAAAAAATAAGAATTGTTAAATTTAAGACTAATGTCTACACATTTTATCAAATTTAACATGAAACAATAAAAACCTTTACATTTGAATTTCATTAGTCATATGTGCTCAAATTATCATAAGAAATGCCAAGAAATTTGTTTTAACTTAGAAACTTGAAAATAAAGTACTTTTAGTTCTCGGTTTTTTGAATAAAGCATACTTTTATTTATTGCTCATTTCAGCATTCCACATTTAATAATGTTAGAACTATTGCCATACCTTCTGGTTTTAGATTTGTTTACAAAATGTCTAAATTGTTGCTTTACTTTGAACAGGGAATAATAATCATATCGAGGGTTTATGAAACCTGAAAATGTAATTTCAACAGTACATGCCATTTATTAAAGATATCACTTGTAAAGTTTTGTATTTTACCCCTCCCTTAAGGACTGCATGCATTGGAATGGCATTTATTTATCATATTTTTTAAAAAATGCAATCACTTAAGTGCACGTTAACTTTCACTGTATTATACAGTTTCTAATGTCTAGTCAAAGCTGTTTCTTCTCAATAACTTACTAAATAATATAAAAGTTAAAAAATAACCTTGCCCTGATTCTGATGTGTAGTAACATTAATAAAATTGATAGAATTTACACTTCACCAGCTTAATCTAGTTCACACTATAATTGCTATTCTCACGATAGTTGCTAGTATAAATAGCTTCTCAATCACCACTGTTTCTGTTGCATTCCAGGCGATCTGAAGAGCCCTGGTATTGGGCAAAAGGCCACACGAGCAACAGATATAGTGTAGTTAATATATTACCATACATTCTTCTTTACTTTCACTAAGAAGTTTTTGTTAATAATTACATTCACACTAGAAAATGTAGGAATTAACAAAAAAATATCAAAACACATTATGCTTTTTTCCTCATTTAATACAAAATAGTTTTAGAGTGTATATACGTATCTTCCCAGCTTCATCACATCTTTCATTTTCTTATGTTTAAATCATAATTAAATACAACCATAAGTTGTGTTGCTAGTAAGATACTTATATCACCAAGATTTTATGTTATTAAATTTTGAAGCATCAAATGATTAACCCAGTATATAACATTAAAGCTTGCATGCATTTACCAAAAGTACTTAGTAGAAGGGTGTTTTGAAATTGAAGTATCATGCAAGTAATAGCAAGTGAAGGCTTGATGTCTAGCATGAAATGTTTATGTGTTTGCATCTGTACAGTTGATGCATGTTCACGTATGATGTTTTTTTTATTATTGTTTCTGTCTCTTATTCATAAGCCTCCAAACTTTCTTCAGCTGCGTCAGTTGAGATATGCAATACCATCCGACATAGATCAATCAAAATCCAGAAAGGTCTGTATGAATGTAAAAATTAATTGCATGTAGAATCCTTGTCAGAACAACCTGCATAAAAAAAAAAGAAATATGCTTGCTTGAATAGCCTTTCATACCTCCTGTAGTGCTGATATTGTTTCCAAAGAATTTTTCTTCGTATTAGGTTTTTACACATTAGGTTAATAAATACAATTGAAAAATTACCAGTGAATTTCAAACAGTGTTGTATCTTTCTCAGATAGTCATTTTCTTACCAAAAAACATTGATCTTCATTTGACCCTGTAGTTGAAGTAGAATAGCTGATTTTTCCAGGGTTACTGTTTTAATTAACATTTGAAATTGTAAATTATTTGTGGTTGAAGCGTAGTAATTGATATCTATAATAAATGAAAAAAAAAATCTATTAAAGAATAAGAAATAATCTTCTAAATGCAATTTAAGTAGATGTTGCTTTAAATGTACAGATATACCAATTTACTGATTATTAAAGTGGTACAGCTAATATGTAGTCATTTCTCAAGTGAATGTATAGCTTATCTTTCTAATGTTTAAAAAGTAAATGATATAATATACCATCTTATCAATTTTGTCAGGTGTTTTATATTAGAAGAAAAACTTGTAATATTGTTAATTTTTTTGTTATTCTGAGCAAAAATTAATTTCTTTTAGGTATCAGATTAACATTTCATTTTGACAAATTAATTTTTGAACATGCTGATATATACTGTATAGTATAGGTCTACTGTATATTCAACTTACACAAAGCAAAATATTTCTCATGATATAGCAAAAATTTTTCCAGTCTCTCCCAGACTAAATAGAATCAAAGCTAGAGTTGTAAGTGAATTGATTCAGTCTTTTACTAGTACTACTAGGTATAGTATCAACCAATGGGTTACTATAAAAGTTCTTTCCTCTTGTTCGATCATTATTAGCTGCAGTTCCCCAGGGCTTTATCTGTCTACATGTAAGATGTGTCATTGTTTAGCCGTGATTTCAAACAATTTTTTTTTCTAAGTGGGAACAAGATTATAATATTTTCTTAATTTGTTTCTAGTACTTAGGCTGTATAACTGATGCAAGGATAGTGTGTCAGTTTCACACACAACAATTATAATTTTTTGTATAATTTAATTTAATTCTGATTTTATGATTAAGTAAGTATTTAGGCTAAACCTGTTAATTTATCCTAATATATATATATATATATATATATATA